CAGTGACAGCACCGTGTGGCACAGGCGTCCACAGCCTCCTGCTTGAGTCTGGAAAACCTGGATCTCCCAGGCCCGTCCTCTCTGTTGTGGCCTTTCTTGTAGAATGTGAGCCTCTGCCGTCTCTGCTTGGGGCGAAGTGCTCAGAACCAGACTCTGCCCTGGCAGTGAACTGGCTGAGGGGCCGGCCGGCTGCCAAGGGGAGCGATGGCCGGCGGGGCCCTGCCGTCCCCGGCACCCCTTAACGCTTCATCACACGCTCCTCTCTTGTTCCCTCCGCCTGCCCTCAGAAGTGCCGCCATATTCCAGAGGAATCAACAAACAAATGGAAGCAGAGAGTTAAGACCGCCATGGCAGGGGTGAAACTGGTACTTTTCCACTTTGGGGCAACGCCAGTCTTGACTGTTTGCAGACGATCGCAGTCAGTTGTGTTTCCCTCCAGCAGCTCTGACTGTCGCCCCGTTTTTATTATAACATATTCACGCCCATGTGCCTTTGCCATCCTCCAGCACCCAGGGGACCGTGCTGGGGTTGTCACCGCATGGCTGGGGTGGATGTGTGTGGGCTCGTGCTGGCGTCGTTTGGCACTTGTGGAACGTGCTTGTCACCACCGCCTGCCTGAAGTCAGTCTCTCATTAACACGCATGACGCCTGTCCCAGGAATGAGTGGCCTGCAGTGTTGCGTGGTCGTCCGTTGTTCAGCAACCTCATACATGCATTTTTCTGTTTTAAAAATCCACTCTGCCCCCACTTCTTGAAACACCCCAGGTTAGTGACAAGCTCCTACCTGATAATTCTCCAGGCCGAGCCTACCTTGTGCCCTGAGAGCATTTAAGCCATGGGTCCCTAGTCTGACGTTGCTGGGCAGCAAACATGTAACTTGTAAGCCAGGCGCTCCTTGAGCAGTGGGTTCTGCAGGCAGATTTTGTCGGCACCGTTAGTGCCTTCCCCAAACTCACAGTAGTCCCCTCTTTAACCAACTGTCACTTCTATGATCGGACAGTAGGATTTCCTGGTCATACTGCCCCAAATGCGTCTCTAACGGCGATTAGACGTGTTGTTTGCTCATCACCTGCGGCTGTTTTGGGTTTGTTTTTAACGTTGTGCACATGCACACATACACACAGGCTCTGACCCCACGGTGGCCGTTCCCAC